CTAGTGGCGTTTAATGATCAAATGACCACTGGCCCTCTTTTTCTGTATCGCATTTGACATTGCTGATCTAACCTGCGTAACAAGCGTTCCTATTCTTAGAGCTTTTCCCATATTCTGGCGGCGCGCAAATTGGAGCGAGAGTAAAAACTCGACGAAGCAGGGGATGTCGATTTTTCTTTTTGCTCTCGCTCCAATTTGTGCGCGGCCAGAATGTTGAAAAAGTTCTTACAAAGGAAACGCTTGCAATGTAGGCTATTACTGATCGTAACAGCATGTAGGACACTATCACACATAAACGTAGTAAGTAGCTTAACTCATCATGAGTCTCTTATAGCTCAGGGCACCCTAACGGTATCTGGGCAGCCACGGATCTCACTCTTGTCGAGGACTCGGATTTTTGACTTGTCCCATGCTAGTGACAACTGAATTTACGCCATTCCCACAAGCCCTGTATGTTTTGAAAATAGCCACAATTTCCTGGGTGCATGAAGAACTAAGTAGCCAACGTTGTGCAGCATTTATCAAAACACGTCTCGAGAAATAGCTTCGTAAAAACGGCGAAAAAGCTAGATTCAAAACTAGCTGTTCTAAACTCTCAACACAAGAAATTACAACAAAGATGGAAAAAAAAATTATTTTAGCCAATCGTGGAGCACGTTCTACGCCACGATTGGCTAAAATAATATCACGTGAAATCACGCATACGGACAGAACAAATACCAAGGCGAGAGGGGTGAGTTCAGAATTGGCAATTCGAAAAGTTCAGACTGTTACTACAATGTGTACTCACCAAAGACAAGAAAATTTCCAGTATTCTTAGATAGTGTAAGACTGATTGAACAGTAGCCGTATCTTGGCTTACAAAACTCACAGAGGAAGTATCAACAAAGACAAACAAAAAATACCTTGCAGATACACTTTATGCACAAAATACTTCTACTACTGCTCGAGACATATTTGGAATTCAACCAGATAATTTCAGTACTGATCAAATACCTACAGAGATCCATCTAATACCTGCTTAGATGTAAAACTCTAAAAGCCCAGCAACAATCAGAATAATCATGGATGCCTGTAGAGTAGCATGACATTTGGGTTGTGGAATGACAGGCGTCCCGTGAGTGGGGAAACACCAGGGCCGATGGAAAGGTGTTTATTTCCTCTTATCTTACCACGATGATCCGTATCACAAGAAAGAGAATCGAAAACACTAAGAACTGTTAACTCTTGTTGCGTTAACTGGCTACACTTAAGAAAGAAAAACGTACCTTTAGAGATGCACTCTCCTGGATGCTTAAGGGTTACGTCACTGCCTTCGTCACACACCAGCAGCTTCATCAT